CACGGATTACTGATGTGTCAGCTGTGGTGAGTGTGATCTCACGCACTGGATTCGCTATGCTACTGCTCTAACAGAGGTGCTGGAATTTGGTCATGTTCATTTAAGCCAGTGGTATTAACCTGTTCAATGGACTATAGCGGCGCCCAGGAAGACATAGTTAGATGAGACAGAGTTAACGTGAAACACTTCTGTTAAGGAGGAAGGAGGAGGGGGAAGGGGAGGGAAGAGAGTGTAAGTCCATGGGTAGTTGACGCCCAATGTAGACTCTTGCGGTTATCCGACAGTCAAGGTACCCTGCGCCTTCACTTTCATCAGCATTTGTGCTTTCGCTTTCCCCGTCACCTCACTCTCTTATGTCTCTTTCGGCTCTGTATGTGTTGCTCCATTTCTTCCAGCGCATCCGATTTGTGGAAACCACGTGTCACCTCTCAGTCGGCATTGGTGGGGTTAGATGCCTGAGCAACCACGAAGGCGAAAGCCAACACATACAATACAGCAAATTGGCTACACGTTGTTTTGGTTGACCATCGAAGGAGAGAATACATGACTGGGGACATCCTTAGCATATTGACTGTCTATTGAGAGTGTGTGCTGGCGACTCCGACGAGTGCAGAACGTGGGCTTTGCCTTCTACTTCAGTTGATGCTGCTTTCATTTTGCCATTGCGCCTGACACATCCCCCTGTTTTGTATCTGCAAATGTGACTTGCAAGTCTGGCGACAAGGGAGAAGAGTCTTCTCCATCTGACGTGACACTTTCTAAAAGGGGGATGGCGAAGGACGTGATAGGAGGAGGTAAGGGGAAATTGGATTTGGGTTTGGAGGGGGTAGAGTTGACCGAGTCGTAATGGAGGCAGAGGGACGAGGTATTCTAGCGTCACTAAATCGCATGAAACAGCTTAAAGCAAACTAGAAGAAGTACATAAAATGCAATATAGGGAGCAGAAGTGGAGCACGCGTGGCAGGGCATAATGCGAGTCAGCCCTTGAGAGCATTAATAGTAGTAGGAAGAGAAAGAGACACTCACCAAAGAGACATTGAATTGAGGCATGCTCCACCATTTCCACCGTTGCCATATATGCACATAGCTCCCTAAGATCTACGAGCGGCACGAAATAGGCCTCACTGTACGTGGCCTGAGGTTCTATCGAGTCTATGTGGCATGATAAATGAGGTATTAGTGAGATCGCCTTGAATGGTCGAGGAAGGTGGCAGCTGTGAGGTATGCATGATAGAGCGGATAATTCTGCGCACCCTATCTTATCCTATCCTCCTCCAAGTCCAGCCAGATCTAGTGTAGCGTGATCTGGTGCTTTTCCAGTGGGATAGGCAACTCTTAAAGATATGGGGCAAGGTAACGTGGATCACTACGACTACTGCTACTGATGTTATTAGTGAGTTAGTGGTTGTGAATGCACATAAGAGAGGCATAGACGCCAGGTACGGCACAATAGGTGTAGCAAGTGGCATGAATTGGTTAAACGAAATGGCCACTTACCCTAAACATTGCTACACAGCTAGCGAAGGTGAGTTCTTGGTGAGTGTTCTAATTCTGTCTCTTGGTG